TATATATATATATATATATATATATATATATATATATATATATATATATATAAGGTTCGGTGCCTTTTTAACATGTTGATTGCCCAAAGTAAATTAAGTATGTTAAGGAAATATAGCTGTCACCCATGGCTGACGTGATGGTCAACGTGTTAACATGATTTTGATGTTTATTTACAAAAAAACGTTAATTTCTGAAATAGTTCCTATCATTTTCCACATATTTCAGCTGCTCTTTCAGGTAGCTGGTGAATCCTGTTTCGGTAAAATATGGTTTTGATCCAATGATGCTTTTTTCGACCTTCTCGGGAGATTGGAAGTAAGAATCGATCACGTGATGCTGTAGCGATCGGAGTAAGTGATAGTCTGAGGGGCAAGGTCTGAAGAACAGCCGCATGAAAGGAGAATTTCAGACAAGAATTGATTTCCAGGGTTGCTTTCGCTGTATGTGGCCGCGTGTTGTTATGCAGAAAGAGAGAGAGAGTATACATAAAAAATTACTTGTTTAATTCCACTACCAATAAATAATCTTTTTTGCTTAATTGTGTCACTAAGATTAATCATCTATTGCTGATAACGCTCAAAAGTAACAGTTTCACCGGGTTTGAGCAACTCATAATAAAGAACATCTTTGAAAACCCACCAAATATGTAACAATATTTTTTTAATTGAACATTCGGTATAACAGTAAATATTCGGTATAATAGTACTTGTTGATGGCTCACCCGGATGAAGCCAAAAGACTTACGTCTTTTTGGATTGTTGTACAATATCCACTTTTCAAATCCAGTTACAATTTCATGAACAAAGTTCTTTTGTTTGAATCATGATAGCAGGACATTACCGTGACAGCAAGGACATTACAGCGTCTCACTTTGTGAAAATTAAGGTCAACACTTTAAAACCCCAAAACAGCGAAAAAAATTAAACAGAATCACAAACATTAAATATTAAAACAGAATTATAATTAATTGAATGTAAAGGCATCGAACTTATTTATACATCTAAGTCTATATTCTGAACCCTCTTTTATCGATAAAAGTGCTTTGAATATAGTTTCTCAGCCAATCAGGTGGCTTCTAAGCTTTTTTTAGAGGCACTTTTATAAATAAAAGAGGATTGAGAATATGTGGGCTCTAATATAAATACTCTCTCTTCTCTATCTCTCTCCCTCCCCCCTCTCTCTCTCTTGGTGTCCATATACTATCACTGTCGCTTTCGCTTCCATCACATTAGCAAATAATAGGTGATAGTGATGCAGCGATTTTACATATAATAATACGATCAATCCTCACTTGACAATGTTGTACATGTCAAAAGACTCGGTGTGACTCAAGCGGTAAAATTGCATAACCTACTTGCTCACAGCTTACGTTCGGTGATACATTCTCGATGTATCATCGTCATACGAGAATACTAATAGTTGTCTCACCTTGGCATCGTCAGTCCATTTGCTCGAAATTAACTCTTTGCGGCCTTTCGTTCACGTTACGTGACTGCGTAAATAGAGGCGGAAATGTGCTCTCGTCATCGTGGAATATACGAGAATGCATCCACTCACACTCACTCGTGTGTAGTCAATAATACGGGTTATATTTTAACGTTTTTCTTTTTTTTTTATTCTAATGTGTAATATATCTGCACAATGCAAAATCTATATAATTCCAGAAATATTCCTTGTATTCAAACACCGTGCGCGCACACGCGTTACATTTTAAATTCAGGTAGAACTAGTCAAAATCATGTCAATCTTACGTCATTTTCACCAAAAAATTACGTAAATTTGATCAATATTTGGTTATAATAACATCAGATTGATATTATTTTGGCTATCTATTCTACCTGGGAAATGAGATAATATCTACAAGATGAGATGATGATAAATATATAACAAGCGAAATTGTTGTTACTCTCCGTTGTAAGCAGAATTATAGCGTCGCGTTTGGTCCTTAAATAAAAAGGAAACAGGAGTCGTACTCGAACGTTAAATACACCTTTATGATTCCCAAACTAAAGCAACATTATACGGGACGCTCGTATAGAAGAATAGGACTTGGAATAAGAATGCACTCAGCGTACGAATACGGGTCAAGAATACGGCCCCGATTGTTTGTGAATTTATAAGCATGCGTCACACATATAAAATGCATAAACACGCGAAAGTTATTAAACAGCATTATTTAAAATAGTCGTTCATGTAAACAGCGTGATACGCATTACACAAGCAACAGCTTATTAATGATAATTTATGTTGAATATTGGATGTTGAATCAATAAACTATTTTATATATAAATTCATTTTGGAATGTTTATATAATTACCTTGTTATGTGATAGAAAAAAAATGAAGTACAAGGAAGACGTGGTTCAAACAAAAAAAGACATTTTGGAAATCTTTGAACGTCAAGTCTCCGGCGGCCATATGTCATAGGCCGGTATTCATAGTCCGATCTTATATTTAAGACCATCTTAAGTATCCAGTAAACATGCATGTCTAAAAGATGTCGAAAAGATATCTAAAAGACGTCTTATGCAACAAAATGTTGCATAAGATATCTTTTAGATATCTTTTCGACATCTTTTAGACATGCATGTTTACTAGGTACTGTCTTAAGATGTCATGAACCAATCACCGGATTCGCATCTTAAGACATTACTTAAGACGGGGTACTTCCGAAATATCCAGGTTTGGGTCAAGTTGAGTTAGTTCCACTATAGTATCCGTTACATATACTATAGTGGAACTAACTCAACTCAACCCAACTCTAGGTATTTCGGAAGCACCCACGGTCTTGAAATAAGATTCGACCATGAATACTGGCCATAGTAACATTAGGGAATGAGATTAAGCGACAGTTTCCCGAAAAGTGGAGAGAATAATATTAGTACCAAGGAAAATCTCTACACAATATAATTTAAGGATCTGAGCCCTTATTCTTGAAATAGTTGCGTATACGTAAGTTTTACTGTGCAGGTTTAATCATACCATAAAATAGCTGCGCAGTAAAACTTAGGGCCTTTGCATGTAGAAAAATTATAATCGTGACCGTAAAGGGACGTCTACATTGGAAGTAAGCAGTAAGAAGTAGGAAGTAAGAATAAGAAATTGACCAATCATAGTTGATTATTCTTCTCACATTCGACTGTGGTTGGTCAATTTCTTATTCTTACTTCCTACTTCTTACTGCTTACTTCCAATGTAGACGTCCCTTAAGGGACCTGTTCTTTGTAACTGCACTGCTCAACTAATGCAAAAGGTTAGAATGAAAAAACATATACTTGCCTCACTTCAATTTATTGAACCAGTTCAGCAGTGCAGTTACAAAAAACAGAATCTTTAAATTATATCGTGTAGAAATTTTTCTTGGTACCAACATTATCCCCTCCACTTTTCGGGAAACTGTCGCCTAACCAGGAATGATATGGCGAATTTGTTTGAAACACTAGTGCGCACTAGTATACATAAAGACCACTTCATAGTTTGTTATTATTTTTAAAATTGTCTTATGCCCGTATTCATAGACAGGCCTTATATTTAAAGGCTCGTCTATAATTTCTGTAAAAATATGGCTATAAGGCTGTAAGACGCAAAATGAATTATTTTCATTCGCTAACAGCTCACGTTACAACCTTACAGCCATATTCTTACAGCTATTGTAGACGAGCCTTAAGGCTTCCTTAAGTTCATCTTCAGGTGCTCTACAAATCATTTTATTGACTACAGAGCATCTGAAGATGAACTTAAGAAATTCTTAAATATAAGGCCTGACTATGAATACGGGCATTAAATTCATCTCTGATGCTCCGTAATCCCCCATCTATATTAGGTGATTTAAGTCTTAAGCTTTAAAAACTAACCAATCACAGTCAAATTTGAAGAGAATAATCGACTGTTATTAGTTAGGGCCCTTGCAGAATGCCAGGCAACAGGCAATAGGAACAGGCAATAGCCAATAGGAACAAGGAATAGAAATAATTGACCAATCAGAATTTCTATTCTCTGTTCTTATTGCCTGTTGCCTGGCATTCTGCAAGGGCCCTTAGTTTTTGAAGCTTAAGACTTAAATCACCTAATGTAGATGGAGGGTAACCGTGCAATTATTTGCATTCGAAAATGGATATAAATTTTAAATATAAGATAAAATTCCATAGATACAGATAAAATATAAGAACAAACTATGAATCGACTTATGGCTCCTGCATATAGGATGCGATAATGCTTGCCGCGCGGCGGAAGTTGGCGCGACAGCCAATCAATATGCTGCTTTCCGTAATAACCTTCTAGCTCTTACGGAAAAACAACATATTGATTGGTTGTCGCGCGGACTTCCGCCGCGCGGCAAGCATTACCGCATCCTGTGTGCAGGAGCCATTAGTGTGTGCTAATGCGAACTAGTGCTTTCAATCGAATTCGCCAATAGCTATGCAACCATCATGATGCAATCCATTAGACGCTGCAGACGCTTTGATGCGTTTAAAACGAAGCCATGATTGGCTATACTTCGCTTCAAAGCATTTGTAGCGTCTAACGGATCGCGCCCGATATGTGAGCTGGAAGCCTAGTATATTGTGTAGATACTTACGATTCTCCCTGAAAATCATTTGATCTCACAGATTAGTCTAGGATTTGATACGTGATTCATCGATTGGTCACAAGAGTGGACCAATCAGTGCGGACACCAAAGTTCGCAGATTCCGACCAGCGGGTCTCTAGCGTCGCGAAAACGCCTCCTTTCGCCGGCGACACGAGGCGTCGGCAGTGACCGGCTGGTGTCCGCAATTGGGCCGAAGCGAAGTTGGGAACGTGGTAGGCCTTGCACGAGAGCGAGAGGAGCGTATGTACAGTGTGTGTCGCCCTACGCGTGACGGTTACGCCGTTCCTCGCTCGGTCCCGTACACTTGCTATTGCCACTGTTACAAAATTATCATATTTATCATACTTCCCTGAATATCTTTCTTTCTCTCTTTGTCCCTCTCGTTCATTCGCTCGCTCGCTCGCTCTCTCGCTGCGCTTGACAGCGGGGCTCGAGTACCAAGCTCCGACAACCCGACCGATCACGTTCTCGCACACGACCGGAAGGAGGAAGCCCGTCCTCGCTTGCGCTCTTTTATTTCCCAAAGCCTACTCGCTTTTCCATGTCAACGACACGCGCGCTCCTACCAAGGCCAGCAGCAAGCTACGCCCCCCGCGTCGTCGTCGTTGCTGCTGTCGGTAGATTTTCATCAGTATCGTCGTGCACGTCGCGCCCACGCCACTGGGAGATTCCGACGAGGGTCGCCGACGGCATCGAACGTCGGGAGTCGCGGCGGCGGAGGAGGAGGAGGAGGACGTGCGGTCGTATCGGCGTCGCTCCTGCCAGCCTGAGATGAGCGACCATGGTTGCATACATTTGAATAATTTCAAAGCGGCCAAGGGTATCCAGCCCTACAAAGTGATACACGCGTACTTCGTGACCAGCACATCGACCGAGGCACGCGTCAGGAAGGTACGTTCGCCCATCCTTTTCTCTCGTATGCAATTCGCGGTCAAGGTTCTCTCATCGCTCGTCGCGCTGTCACGCCGTCTTCTCGAGGCCTTCCTCTCTCGTTCCCCGTCGCGTCTCTCTCGCCTATTCATTTTTCTCGAGCCCTTTCTCTCTTCGTCTGTCTCCGTCGTGTTCCGCCTCCTATTGGTCTCTTTAACACCTCCTTGAACCATCCTGAACGATTGACGTGCGAGGTTCGTGAATTTCCTAGAAGAGGATGCGAGCGTTGGCTCGCAGCGAACTGCTGGCGGGACGTTTAAAAATGTCTACCGAGTTGATACAGTGGGGCCATCTAGTACACGTAGTCGCGTGTGTCAGGATACGCAATTATTTTCCTTTTGATCGCGTCTAGAGAGAGAAGTAACTTTAAACTATGTGGAATTCTTCGTTTAACGCTTTCTAACACTTGCGAACTTTTGATGTATTTGTCGAATGATCTTTGTGGAAATGAATGAACATAACCTAGCAAAGGAGGAGCGTTCGGCGGTACTTTTAAATCGTTGGCAAGTGCAAGCTTTAATGTAATGTTAACTTATACCGAACGCAATTAATTTTTTATATTTTTTATTGAGTACATTCGCGGAATATTGAAATATCGAATACTAATTGTTTTGTAACTATAAATATAACAACAATGATGATTTTACTTTTTAGGCTGTGAGCTGTTTATGTCATACATGTAATACTTATAAAGACCGCCTACATTCTTGTCTTCATTGTATATTTTTTGGCTGCTATGTAAAGGGTCATATACAAGAGCATGCGAAAACGAAGAAACATTTCCTAGGTAATGAGTTCTTTACTTTTTCATGTTTTACCAGAATTGAGATTTGATTAAAAATAAATATTGTAAGTCATCAACAATAAGTGCAAATAATAAGTATATTTTATTCTTCTATGCAATTGATTAATCTTGTTTGATATGTTTCTATTTAGTTGTTTATGACATTTCAGCTGTTGATTTGTGTTACGGGAATATTTTGTGCTTCCAATGTGGCGACTACGTATACGACAGAGAGTTGCTGGCAGTGGCAAAGTCGCAATGGAGTGCTTCAGCAAAATCCCTGAGCTTTGGAGAATTTTACCGAGCATGGGAGCCAACGCAGATAGAGACCGAGTTGTTGAGGAAGCATCCGCGTCGAAGACGTGTCGCAGAAAACTCTACTATAGGTAAAAAAGGTGTTCCTGGGCTCTCAATTAGTTACCAAATGTGGCTATTTAATTTAGAAGTTTTATTAGTTTTTAATAATGATATTATTTCCATGTGTGAGATATGTAATCCGACGACATTATAGTAATGTTTCAATCATTATTCTTACAATATTGTAATCGCTTTCATGTTACAGGTTTAAGAGGATTGATCAATCTTGGCAGCACTTGTTTTATGAACTGCATCGTACAGGCGTTGATTCACACTCCGTTGCTACGGGACTACTTTCTTGCTGACCGTCACCACTGCCCGCAACCGACTCGCTGCCTGGTCTGCGAGGTATCCCATCTGTTCCAGGAGTTCTATTCCGGCAGTAAAGCGCCGCTGACACTTCATAAGCTCCTTCATTTAATCTGGACGCACGCCAGGCACTTGGCTGGCTATGAGCAACAGGACGCTCACGAATTCTTTATCGCGACGCTGGATGTCCTTCACAGACATTGTGAAGCCGCTCCAATACTGGTCAAGGATAATCCTCATCATTGTAACTGCATCATTGATCAGATATTTACAGGAGGCCTTCAAAGTGACGTTGTTTGCCAGGCTTGCAAGTACGTCGGTTTTCCATTTTCTGTGAAGAACTATGACCGATATAACCAAGTTTTAGTAAAAGCTACGCTCTTGGAATCATCGAAATCAATAATAGGAATATTTATTGTGTTAAACATGATTTTAGATTTTACGAAACTGTGAGCAGAATCTCTCTTTATTCGTATTTTCTATTTAATGATTTTAGTGGAGTGTCCACTACGATAGATCCGTTTTGGGATATATCTTTGGATCTGGGTCCGGCAGCCGGTGCTTCTGGTTCTGATACATCCGGTCCTCCCACCTCTCTGTTAGATTGTCTGGAGAGATTCACCAGAGCTGAACATCTGGGTTCCACAGCGAAGATCAAGTGTAGCAATTGCCAGACCTACCAGGAGAGCACGAAACAGCTGACGATGAAACAATTGCCGATTGTGGCGAGCTTCCATCTGAAACGTTTCGAGCATTCCAGCATACAAGATAAAAAAATCTCCACTTTTATCTCGTTCCCGGAACAATTAGATATGACGCCGTTTATGTCGCATAAGCGCAATGGCAATAACAACAGCGCCACAATAGATGGCTTGTCGAAGAATGGAGAAGATATGACATTCAGCGATAACAGGTAGGTGATAATTATATAAAGTGTGAGCAATTTTTAAGTGTACAAAATATAGCGTAAAATAATTAGGAGTTGTTTTAATAATATACAAAGTGATCGTAATCTCTCTCCTTCATAACTTGTACAAATAACGAAGTATTAGATTACCTTAAGAAAATATTAAATTAATTTAATCGCTAAACTAGGTACTCTCTTTTTGCCGTGATAAATCATGAGGGTTCCTTAGAGACTGGACATTACACCGCCTTCATCAGGCAACAGAGAGATCAATGGTTCAAATGCGACGATCACTTGATTACGCGAGCTAGATTGAAGGATGTTTTGACTAGCGAAGGGTAAAATACTCGAAATCGATATAAATATGTTAAAAATTTGCCTCGATAAAAAAAAGAGGAAAAAAATACATCTTGACTAATCTTCCTTTTTCCTTTCAGATACCTTCTGTTTTATCATAAGCAAATCTTAGAATATGGCCGGAACAGTAAGGCGTGAGAGAGGAAAAAAAGAGAGGGAGAGAGAAAGTGTGTGTGTGTGCAAAAAAGAAAGATTAAGTCATGTAATTAATTTATTTAACAAAGAATTAATAATCGATGCTGTTAGACGTCGGTGACGCTTTACGTTTGCCGGAAATGAATTATTGTCGCCGTCGCTTTTTGGTTTCCGCCGGCGCCTTTTGTGTTCGATGGGGTAAGCCGACTGACTGCCCGATCGACATCTTTGTATGTCATAAACGTAACGTAAGCGTAGGTGTTAAGATTAGCTCAATTTTTTTAAATCGACCGATTGCAATTTTTGTATATCGCTGACTGTTGTTATACTCCTGCCCTGACACTTGTATACACGATACGCCAGGGATGGACCATAGGAGAGTCTCCTATTTAGTTCCTGCACACGCCAGCAGAATATTGATGTTGCCGATCTCTGAAATGTTCCAGCAAACGCATAATATCGAATCATTTATCAAGCATTATCGAACATTTTAGTATTATATAAATATATATACACATATATATGTACACACACACACACACATATATATATATATATATGTGTGTGTGTGTGTGTGTATATATGCATACATTTATATATGTATAACCAATAAGCGTTTAAATCCATATTTTTAAATCAAGTCATTTTCATGATCAACACAATAATTGAAATATCATGCATTTTTCCTTGATATTATACAAAGATTAAATTTTCGCTAAAAATCCAATATTTCATAACTTGATACTTTCTTGCGCGAATTTGTTGTGTATCTTGTACAATGATACGTTTTATTAATTACGATGGCCATCCCTAGGCGACTCGATTTTGTACAGACGAAATAACGTATTATAGTGAAGATGAGAACATTGTGTGACTCGAGGCGAACTCTTTCGCTGGACTTTGTATAATAAAAATCGCTGTTCGACAAAACTGTCGCTCTGGTTGCCCGTTCCACTCTTAGTTTTCTCTAATTTTTTTTTTATATACATATATATATATATATATATATATATATATATATATATATATATGCATGTATAAAATATTACATTATAATATTTTATATATATATATATATATATTTATCTTTTTGTATCTTGAATTGTCACTCATGAAATATGCGACGCAACCATAGTGCCAAATACTCGGAAGCGCAACATTCAATTTAAATCTCGGGATGTACATTTTCGTTAGCACAGTATCCGATTAACGAAACGGGTTTCCACTAACGAGTACAGAGGACAACAAAGGAATTATCGTTGACGATTTCTAGATTTTTATGGAACTTTTAAGGAAATGTAAGCTGGTATATCTTCATTTTATGTCAATTGCGTGTTTTATCCTTTTATTTTAACATTCTTGATTTGTCATTGTACGCGCATTGAATTATGTCAGTTGAGAAATCATGTGAACCTTTCTTATGCATTATACATATGGAAATAAAATAATTTTTTGTATGTGATATATCTACAAATTGTACGTGCTACTCTGTACTCATTGGTTTATATATTGTGTTCATCAAAACAAATATACTGCACGTCAGAGTTCATCCTTTTGGGTCAAGCGTCCGTTGTGGACGTCAAGAACGAGTATCGTATAATCAATGAATTGTCCGCGTTGATCTATCCATATCGATCTTAGAATGGATTTTGTTATGACATATGACAAACACTACATGTTGAGAGATGATACTACTACACGTGCAGTTGTAACGTTTTATATAAGGCTGAAATACACGTATATAGAAATAAAAAACTATATTTCACCGAAATTTGTTTACTGGTACTACTACTTGATTATAGACTGTTTCTTTGTGGTGACAGTAAATTACAAATTGTCAATAAGAAACAATTATTGAATTTAGTACTAGACACTGTAGACTTATAATATAAGTGAAGATATAATAGAAACGATATATATTACTTACAAATATTATATATAATGTACGGTAGTTGATTTTAATTTCAACTTGAGTTTTTCTATGTAGTTATATTTCTGGCACTATAATGATTACTCAAATTTAAATTATATTTATTCTGTTTCAATAGTAAATATAAGGTAAAACATTTGCTTAATAGATCTATACCTTTTAACCATATTTACTATATTCCTTGCAATTTTTTTCCTTTTTTTTTTAATTGATAAAAGGTAGAAGAAGTGTGCAACCAGGATACAACACTTACGAGAAGTTTAAAAAATCTAATTATTCGCGCCAAAAGTTGTCGTTTTCGATTCAGCCAATCATCTCAGCGAGTAAATAGAAGCAGGAAGAAAGATGGACGCGTTAACATTGGGCTCGCACAGGTAAAGCCGATTGATAGATATAAAATTTCGTGTATCTTTCAAAGAACGAAATGTCATGTCATGGTTAATTGCTTCATGTTTTCTAGGCTAGTCCATCTTGATTTCAAGGGTGCACCGCCGCGAACATGTTACTTTGAAAAGGTATATATTATTGAAGAACGCTTTGTATTGTTACCGTGTTATTGTAATTCGGTACTTACATTGTTTATTTTCTGTGCATAGTTTGCACAAAAAGCGTAGACGCATTATTGCACTACAAGCTGTTATTTGAAAATAAAAACTACGCGATAATTTTTGTTCTCTTTTTTTTTATCACAAGTTGTCATTCGAGTTGAACTTTGAATATCGATTGCACCGTCCGATAGTGTTAGACTGTTTATGTTCAAAGGAATCAGACACAGATAAAGACTACGTAATTAATCACTGTTAAAATTTAAATACTTGTAAATCCATAATTGTACATACTGATTCGCAATTGGCATACAAGAAACATTTAAATTTATTATTTAAGTTGAAAATCCTCCATGCCATTGTACTGACAGTTTCTAAATTAGAAAAAAACTATCAAAAACATTCACGAATTGTACTTTAGGGTCCAATATAACAATATGATTTAACATTTACAGCTTTTTCCTCTCTTAAGAACATGGGGAGCTACTGGATTATTGTTGGAATGGGAAGATACATTCCCTTACAATCGAGAACTCTCACCTGTAGGAAGCAATGGACCAAGCAGCTTAGCCAGTGGATACACAGTCCAAGAAGCTAGACATATCTTACAGATAGCAGGTGATTGTGGCTTGGCGGTTGTTCCATTGGTACAAACTTTTGGTCACATGGAGGTATTAAGATATTTTGTCTGTATTGTTAAATTTTCTATATTGCTTTATTTTATTTTTGCTGAATGGTCATATATTTTTATTTTTAAAATCTTAAGAAATACCAATTGTGTTTTTTAATAAATGATAATTAAAATTTCAGTTTGTTTTAAAACATGAAGAATGGAGATCATTGCGAGAAGTAGAACCTTTCCCAAGTTCTATCTGTCCATCAAATCCAAGGACACTTCCAGTTGTGAAGTCCTTGATACGTCAGATTGTTAGTTTTCATCCAGACATACAATACCTGCATATAGGTTGTGACGAAGTATGGCATTTAGGTCTTTGCTCAGTCTGCACTAAACGAGCTGCTGCCAGCAAATATGGCAAATATTCTCTATATCTGGAGCATATTCTGGCAATAGCCCAATATATACAGGAAATTTATCCATACTTAAAAATTATCATCTGGGATGACATGTTAAGATCAATAGACTTACAGGTTTTGAACGGTATCTCGATAACTTGTTCGCACCGTTTGATTGCACAAGTGTCTACATACAACCAATCTTTTTTCTTGTAGAACATTACATTGGCAAATATGTGGAGCCTATGGTGTGGCATTATAATCCCAGAGACAATTTTGCATTGCCCCATGGTATTATTTTAAAAGATTTATAAGTTACTAGGCTTAAGAAAAATATACAAAGCTAATATAAATTATGTGTATATATATATATATATATATATATATATATATATATATATATATATATAT